ATTTTTTTTTTATCGTTTTCCTAGATTACGAGCAATATACATGTTAACCTTTTGGAACTGTTTCGTATTTTTATTTATGAAAAAAGAATAGTGACGTTGGTGAGACCGTTGGCTACACATGGACGAGAGCTTTATCGGGGTTCAAGTAACTGCTTGTTTGTACTTTTCACATTTTGCGACGATAACAATAATTAGAATCTTATACAATCAAATTTTCTTAAGATTTTTTTGCAATAACATGCTGACTTTTAATAGATATCTCGTTAATTATGGCGTGTTCATTTGAATCACAAAAGATGTATTTTCTCAGTGGGTGGCTGATTCACAGATTAGCGCATTTAAGAAAAAAGTGCGACTAAATAATCCATCATGTCTGCAGTTTAAAACTATTTTCTAGTAGAAACTAGCAAGACACACAGTTGTTTTCTTTTTTTTTGACCAAAAAAAAGTCGAATACGCCTAAATAAATCCTTTTGCCTTCAAGGAAGAAGTGTTTTGTTGTTATTGTTATAAGTTCAACACATGTTACCTTTTAACTCTTCTTTCATATCAGCAACATCAGTAAGCTTTTAGAGTAGTCAAAAGTAACTAGCACATATTCTGGTAATTGATATCATTCAAAAACAGTAATTATTTCATTGAACCTCTAGGGAGTCAAAATGTAGATATAAATAAATAACAATTTATACAGTTTGTCAGATCGAGGCCTGAATTGAAATCAAATGCATCATCATTGGAGCTTCCTGCATTGTGTTTTTAAGAGGCAAACTCTGAAACTGTTTCTGATCAATACGAAGAGATTCTTAATCATGCCACGTCCGTGAAGCAAACCAATTTATAGTGTGAAGACTTAAAGACTTGAAAACTTGAAAATTGGAGTAAGGTACTTCCCCTGGCCTTAATCAGCATCGGTCACACTAAATATTTCTCAGTAACAGAAACTGGTGAAAACTAGTCATCGATAACATATTAACGAAAGAGGGAGAACAGTTTGTAATGGTATATTTCCGATATTCAATATTAGTTCTTTGTGTTTCCTAACATAAACAAGCCAGCTATAGTTATAAAAGAAGATCTATTAATTACTTTTTCAGCAGTTTATCAACAGCTGCATGGCGACATGATTGCCGACTAAAGCACGTATGATTGAGAAATGTAAGTTATGATGAGATTTGCACTGACCCACTTTTCAGTTTTGGAGAAATAGGATAGACTGAGAGAAGGTTTAATAGCGTGTCTAGAGCACAACGATGAAATAAAAATAAATTGATATTACATTCACCCGTATAGATGGATTATAGGAAACCTTCCAAACCATCCAGAGTATTCTTCGTGAAAATGGAAAGCTCTTGTCCCTTAAGACTTTTCTTGGGACTACTAAATGTAATTTGATTTCTCAACAATTTTTTTCTTAACCAGTTTTAAGTCACTACTGTAATTTTAAAATACACGCTAGAAGCGACAACGTCTTTGTCAAGTAAGAAAACGCTGAATTTGACTTTAGAGTTCAGTTATCGTAAGTCGACTTCAACCGCTTCTATAAAATGTAGGCCATGTACAATGAGACTGTCATTTAAACCGTGCTTGAAATATGACCATATTTCATTGCCTTCTTTTCTCTTCTTTCCTCCCAAAGTAAATACTTCAAACAATTTATATGATTTACATCCTTTCAGTAAGGAATATAAGTATCTTGTAACTGGCATTTATTTCATTTATTTTGAAAAGAAACAGAGGAACTACTGAAGGGAAATCTAAGCGTATCTAAAGCGTTCGGAAACTTCAAAAGTGGACTCCAGCAGTCCATTTATTAGTCCGCTTCAAATATTTCCAAACTGACACCAATAGTTTTGTTTTCTGAAGATAGAAGAGATAACGCAAGAACCTTCCAGAAAAATTCAGACTTCGCCCAAACTACCGTCTAAGCTTGGCTGCGATTAAAATATACAATTAGTTCCGCCTAGCAAAAGTTGGGTGGCTTTATAGTTCTGAAGTACGGAGTTATCAGCAGTTAAGGTAGAAACTTCGCTTCACCTACAGTTTCAAGTTTTAAGTCATCACTGGAGGTCACGTAAATTTCAAATACTTCCTTGATAAAGAAATAACAAAAAAAAAGAAAAGAAAGAAAACAAAACGAAAAACAAAACAAAACGATCACATCAGGGCGAGTATTTCTATAATAACGCGTTATGACGGTGTTCCCAGTAACACTGAATGAGAATTCCATCAATTTTCTGGGTCCCCGATATTTACTGAGACTGGAAGAAAATTAATAAAAAGAACGAAACTCCTTTTCTCAAACTAAAACCAGATTTTTCGATACAGCTTATATAAACGTATTGATATACAGATATTTTTCAAGTACAATCGTGCGGGGTTTACGATGTGAACACGTTAGATAAGAGTTACGTAAACACTTTCAAACTCTATTTCGTATGAATTTGCTGTCGATGCTGATTCAAGAAACATAGTAAGTCAAGGAAATCTGACTATAGTGAGCGTCACCACAGATGACAGTGGCTCATACGTTTGTACAGCTACAAACATTTGGGGTACCACAACATCATCACTACAGCTTGGAGTCTACACTTCTCTCAAGTTCGTTAACAAGCCTCCATCCTCTGTTGTTGTGAAAGTTAATGAAACCCTGAACTATCTTATTCCGTATCGAGTGATCTACAGCCAACAATTTTCTGGCTGTTCGATAGAGTCCCCTCATTACCTCAAGGCGCAGCTATTCAAACATCGAATTACTTGATTGTACCGTCAGCGAACCACACTCATGGCGGTACTTACACTTGCAGTACTTCTAACTTACTAAGCTCAATTTACGCTGATGTCATCGTTTATGTCGAATACCCTGAGATTGCAGCGAGGTGAAAGCAAACATCAGCGAAGTAAGTGGTGAATACGTCATTGATCCAGATGGTGTACAAGGCGAGAATCCAATTACTGTTTACTGTGACATGTTCGACCAAGGAGGTGTTGGAGTGACAGTTGTCAGTCATGACAGCGGAAGCAGAACCCACTTCACTGGGGTAAACAATGATGATAATTACAAGCGTGACATCCAGTACATTGGCTCCAGTTTCTCTCAGTTAGCAGGACCGACAGAAGCTTCAACAAACTGTGACCAGTTCATTAAATATGAATGCAAGAAATCTAAGTTGAAAGACAACCAAGCTTATTGGAGGTCACGGGACGGTGCAAAAATGACCTATTGGGGTGGAGCTTCGTACGGGAACAGGTGCGCATGCGGAATGACAAATTCCTGTGCTGATCCTGTGGAAGGCTGTAACTGTGATAAGAATGATAGCACTTGGCGGGAAGACAGCGGTCTTCTGACAGACAAGTCTCACCTCCCTGTCTCTCAGTTGTGGTTTGGCGACACTGCCGATGACGGAGAAGAAGGATATCATGGGAAAATTAAAGTGCTATGGAATGAACTAATCTTATGGGACAACAATCGCTTGGCAACGATTCACTTATTATAGCAAGGTCACTTGTAACACAAGCACACGACACGACCAGAATTAGTCATTTCTTGTTTTAATACAAAGTAATCCACGAGGCCGAGGCCGATGCAATGAGTTTGGAGGTGGAAGGAATATTAGCGAGGGAGAAGATAATGAAAGAGAGGGAAAATAGAATCCGAGTGCCGTGTACTAAAAGTGTTAGAGGAAATTTTTGCCAATATAAATAACGAGAGATGGGACCTTCCTTAAACTACAACAGGCTCCTTTATGGGGTCACTCCGGAAACCTCGAAGTTAGCCTTCCGCGGTCTGGTGACGAAGATTCTCACAAAGCCACTGAAATCGAATCATTAAGCCTTGGGCAATGTTTTCTCGAACTCTCGCTCATGTGTGCTTATGGAAGAATCTTTGTTTACAATATTGCCTCATTAGCATAAGCGATAAAGTTTCGGATGGAGCTACAAATCATTAGTTCTGAAAATTGCCCCAAGGAATTTGAGCCCAATGTATTGAATACTTTTTTGTGCGAAGTGAGTTTGAAAACTCAAAATTTTACAAAGAATGTAATGAGCTCATTAGCGCCTTTTGCCACCGAGAAATTTTGCAGATTTTTAAAGCCAATTTCCCCTCGAATATTTCACCCAAAGAGCCGAAAATTTCAACAATTACTAAGTTCCCAAAGCTCTAAATGAAGTCAATTCGTGGCTAGCGTGATGCCTTCTCTGGGAAAAGTCGTATACATATTTAATAAGGATAAATGTGAATAATGACGTCAGAAAAGATCGTTCTATTTGGACTAACCAAGCATCCGTGGTTGTACATGCGTGTGAGTTTTTCGTGACTAATCTGAGCATGATAAAAATTATACGGCTTTAAGCAAAAAATAATGAATGACTCCGACAGCGAGACTGGCTAGAGAAATTCATTCCAGGAGTTCTTTATTTCTTTCAGAGGGGCGAGGTGAAGCTTCTTTTCTTTGCACTTAAAAATCGAATCTAAAACAAGTGAGGGCGGAGACATAAAAAGCCATAATGTGACACCTGTTCTTTTGAGAGGGTGCACATTTTTATATTTAAAACATGCTGACTGTAGCATAGAAATACCCAACACAATCAATATATCAATAAATTTATCTCAAATATAAATGAAAGAACTTGGAGCAAAAAAAAATCCAAGATATATATCAAAGGGTCATGTCACGGTCAGTCACATCTTTGCTTTTGTTTGCATGCGCGAGTTTGGCTATTACAACTGTGAAACTACTAAAGATAATGAAACATACTTTCAGGAACACAACTTGCATTAAAGCAATAAGATTTCACTTCACCATGCAATATCAATAATCGAAAATGGCTGGGGCTGACTAGGGTCCTTTAAATCGTTTGAAGCTAAGGAGATAGGCACATGAAATACCAAAATATGGGTTGTAAGTTAGCAAGACCAAAGGTGAAACACACAATATTAGATATACAATTTTATTCTGTTCCAACTTTGATTTATAGTGCTATTAAGCACTTTCTTCGCCAGGATGAATTCATAATGTCTCTCACAATCATATTGTAAATAATTCAAAAAAGGTTCTCTCTTTACATAAGTTAATCCATCAGCACTCCAGAGCCATTATCTATTGAATGTATCAGAGTTGCAAGTGTAAAATCCGTTAGGAACCTGTGTATAAACATTAATTTTGACTTGATGAGTAACAATGTCAATAAAAAAAGAGTAAATGTATAGTAGTGACGTTTCGCGAAGATCTTGTTGAGATATACATGTACAATACCCAAAATTAGTAGTGTTTCGTCGGTGGGAATCTAACAAAACGTGTTATTTTAGTATAGTTTTAAGGACGGTACTTACTAAATACAAAGGTTTTTGCACCAGGTTAAGAACATGTGGAAAAAGTAGATCTTTGCAAGGGCTATTGGAATCCACGAAGAAAAATGGGGGTAGCCACGCATTTTTTCGAGATAATTACCCTTGAATCTCAACAAAAATGCTGACATCCGCATTTTTCTGAAAAAGAAGGGAAGGATATTTCTTCACAAATTTCCTTAGATTTCGCCTTTACATACAGAAAATCAAACGCATTTATAAAGATCTTAAAGCTACATGGTAAATGGTAACATAACAACAATTTTTGGTATGTCTTTAATACCAAAATAATTGCGACAGCGCTTTTAGCGTCTCTGACAGCCTTCCTCTGGTTCAACTAAAATACAGTCTAAATACCTTTTGCTCACAACCAGAAACTTATTACGGGTTGAATAGGCTTGCCACTTCCATTTCATAACATAAAATGTAGGGGTAACTACGCGTTTTTTAAAGTTATTGATCTTTTTTGAAAACTTTTACGGTGCCTGTTACATTTTTTCTGTCACGTCCCCAGTAAGTAAAACATTAATTGCGTATCTCCCACTTGTTTCGCGCGCCCACCAAGCCATCTACATTTACAGTTGGATTTCAGTATTATTTTCGGCAGATAAAAGCTAGTTTTTCAGCTGGAAGGCGTTAACAGTTAGTGGTTAACGATATGCCTGGTTTAAGTACAGGTTGATTTAACTTGATTTGGTCACAGTAGGAAAATTTTGCTTTCATTTTAACCGTGCACTTGGTAGCGTAGTTGATTGCGTCAATGTCAATCCAGCGCACGCGTGGCAGTTGAACCATGCCTTGCGTGATGCGCAGATCATGTGCGCACTAACAAAAGTAGGCACCGTCCTTAACACTACTGCTGTTAACAGGTCTCCGTGAGCCATATTTACTGTAGACATACAACTCGTTTCCATTGCGTTTCTCTGAGTCACAGTGGATGTTTAATTTGGGTCAAATTTGTCAAAATTCCGAAGCCAAAATTTGAAAGCCAGCTTACCGTCATCAACCCGTGCTCTGTTCATTGAAAAAGCACGCTGTTTCAGACAATCAGAACGCGCGTTATATGGAAACTTTATTATAATGTAAAATACAAAAGCTTACCAATGATAAGTGCAGCCACCTTCACGGAGTCGTAACCATTCAGATTATGAAGTTCTTTGACACACACTTGGAAGCCTCTAGTTGTAATTTGCTAATAAACAAAGAAGTAAAAAGAGGGTATATTCAGGAAGACATTGAGAACTGCTAAAAAAAGAGAAACTGGGAACCGAAACGAATTTGTAAAAGACAGCTAGCACTGCGTCGGAGATTGGATCCAAGGGTAGAATTAGCATGTGTTATGATTGCAGAGTAGCTTTATATCCCTCAGCGAGGTTCTGTGAAATATTTTTCGACGCACTGAACTTTACGCTTAACAGAATCGCACGTATTGAATTGTCCTTGGTAAATTTGCAGTTGTTTACGCGTGCACCGCAGGTTTTTCAATAAATTCAAGTTGTTAAAGTCAAGAACCCGTTTATGTCCTTCTTTTAGGCTTCTCAGGAATATAATTATCCATCTACATCTAAACTTTCTTCCAAAACTTCGGAAAAACGATAAAAAAAGTCGCATTTCGTGGACGATCGACAGCTACTACACTCTAATGGCTGATAGTATATGAGTTGCTTAGCCAATCAGATTGCAGCATTTGCATTAGTATACTAGTAAAATTCTACTAAATACTGTTAATAGCCTATCGAACAATCTGGCAATGATAATTGTAGATCACAGAACGCAAAATATTTCCCACAAATTTGGTATTGATGGTTCGTATGCAAGGAAACAGACTGCGAAGATGGTGGAGAATGTCACATTTACATACCTCTACCCAAGTGGCAATGCTGTTATGTTCGGGACTGGCTGAATTAAGATGAGACGCTGACACAATGACCGTGGGCGTCGAATTCTTGGGCGTTGTAAAATTCACGGTCTGGGAGTGAAACAAATGAATAAAAACGTTTGAATTGTATACTTAAATAAATAGTTGGAACCATAAGAACTTCATAACAAGAAGATTAAAAGATATTTATAATTTTAGCAACAAAACTGTTTTTTCCCTTTCCCGCAACAGAAAGATCATAACTTTAATTAATTACGAGTTCAAACCTCCAGCGGAAATTAATTATACTGGACAGAAGGGATTATTGCTCTCGGTTTTGAATTTCGATTATTTTGTTCATTCTCCACTTGAAGCATTTGATAGCAAAGGGGCAATTTGTTTTCTTTTCAATATCACGAGTGAAAAATTACTCCTACATTTCGGCGTGAATTGTCAAAATTGTCATGGCAACGTTTGGCGCGACTTTTCTCGATATAACGAATAGGTCAAAAGCCCACGAGCGTTGGCGTAATTTGTCAAAATTCATAAGAACTTTGCTAAAACGCGCGTGAAATTATTTCTCAATTACCCTCGTCGTCATTTGATTACCCATTCATGTATCCGCCACTGGTGAATATTTATTTTTACAGTAACTGCAGAAATTCTTGTGCGCTCACTGGATAATTTTCATTGTCAATAAAAGGACACACATGACTTCATAATTATGCCTAGTTTGGTATTGTAAAAAACAAATCGATTTGAGTTTTTCATGCGTCTGTCCTGTTATTGACAACGAACTTCGTCATAACATTGTCAAAGTAGTCTGCGGACGAAATTAGTTGTCAATAACAGAACAGACGCATGTAATACTCACGTCAATTTGTTAAATGAGTTATTTCTAGTTCATAAATTAAAATTTCTGAGGTTAAATATAGCAATGAAGCACGTAAAATTCTCACCTCACAGTAAGAGTTGTGATTCTCAGCAAGAGGTAAAAAGTTGTTTTGGAAATCGATGATATGTTTTTCACCGGCAAGATTTGTTGGAAGTGTGTCGTATACAAACCAGTTCTGCAGGAAAAAATCAGAGTGATATAAGAAGAAAATTATCCCACCGTTCAGCAATGGAGCACTTTTTCTCAGTACAGACCGTTTATAGAACTTTTTAAATTACGAAATAACCGCATATTTGAATTTGAAAAAGGTTGCAATGACTGTTTTTAAAAGCGGAGCGTTTTGAATTTACTCACGTGTCCAGCAGCAAATTTATTGGAAGAAAACAGTTCAACTCCCACAGGATTGGTTTCGTACACCAACATGGCCGCCAGTTCATTATTTCGAGACACCAATATAGCTGCGGTGTCGTCAACTGAAAACAGTGTATTTTTTGCAAGGGTTGGACAATCTTGGACAATATCAACTTGATTAAGGTGGCTGAACACAGTTTTTGATACCTGCGTTTCATTCACCTTTTTCTCTATTAAAACCCTTGATCTTTTGCTCACCAAAAATGGCAGCAAGCAAGTTAACACCACAAAATTTGGTTTATTGATAGTCAAGCTGACGTATGTGCCGTTCCCATGGCAACGTCAATAAAGATAAACAGGCCTTTAAAATCGGTTTTGTTTATTTGCATGCAACAAGCTTGTAACGATGCTCACAAGTAACACTATTTTAACAATAATTTAACAGTGAGATCTCTAATTATCCCTTGTTGAAGGTTCACTGGAATTTCTAAAATTTCCTCTGTTAAAGTTCAATTTTTTTTTCAATAATCCAGTTACTTATTTCCTAAAGTATTTTCGTGCCAAATTTCGTGAAATTCTAATGAGTGGTTCTCGAGAAATAGGCGTATTTCCGAGAAAGCTATTCCGCATACAATGACTTACGCACGCGCTGCATTTAACTGCCTTCTTTCGGTTTCAAAGAAAAATCAGAGAATTGCTGGGTTCTTTGCATCGACACTTTTTCTAAAACCATGAATACACTGTTTCAGTTATGAAGGAAAATAGCGCAGATAGCGCGGGCATTGAGCAAATAAAATGATCGCTGTATCGACGCCGTTTTTGGTATTTGCAATCCTTGTACGCGCGGTGAATCGTATTAGCAAGAGCGCGCGCGAAAACTGTGTTCGGCCAACTTAAAATAAACACTCTAAGTGTTTTCCGTACGTCACTTTTCCGAGTGACGTCAATCGGTAAATGAAATACTTTTTTAATATATATCTACCTCTCTTATTTCGCTTCCTTATGTCCATTTCCGCTTTCTCTCTCTTAATACCCCCCTCCATTCCCCGCCCCCTCCCTGTCTTCTCCACCTCTTGAAAGGGGGCTCCTGTTACTCATTTATTAGTTTAAATTTTGTAATACGTTGTATTACGAAACTAATTAGGATGTCTTCAGCACTTACGACTGTCGAAACACCGAGATCCAGTCCGTCTGCGCTTAACAAGCGGACTCTTCAATCGTTAGGTGTCGGACAAGTCATTAGTTAAACATTTCAATCTCTCCAAGGTACTGAAATTTGAAACTACGGCAGAAGACTCGATTGTATGACTCACTGAGCCCTGACCGTCAAAGGACTCCATGTTACAACGTCGGTGACTCATGCCTTACTGTTAAAAATAGTGTTTATTAATAACTTACCAATCTGATGTCTTTGTGTAATCCATCAAAGTTCTGCATTTCTCTCGAACAGGCGAGAAAGGTATTGGTGTTGACACTCTCGACCCAGACCGTGGCGGCGTCGTGTTTCAGACCCACTACTGTGTGCTGAGCAGTCACCAAAATGTGTGGTGAGGAAATCTCGGTTGCCTGAAGTAGTGAGAAAAATATATCGTATGCTCAACTTTTTATTAAATGAATGTAACTTCGTCCTCCGTTATTTCAAATGTTCAAAGATATTTTTTTTTTTCTTATAAGAAACAGATGTTTGGCCCTTCTTACAATAAATGGCGATTCAAATAAATCCCTCTTACAGTTTAAGCTGTTTTCAAAACAGACGCTGCCTTTAGTGAAGTGGCTAGTTATAAAATATGCTCTTCTACTTTCCCATAGTGTCCATAATAACCCCTTTTAATTTGTTACTTCCGATTTCATTTGCGGGCTCTATTTATAGAGTAGATTTGACTTAGTTTGGACTTGGATATTTCAACGTCAGAATAAGAAAAAATGAATTGCACCCCTCTCTATCGACTGCTAAAACGGTAATTGGTACCTTGGACGTAAAAACAAAATTCTTGGGCATTCAAAGGAGCTCATTTTCGGAATTTCGAGTAACTTTGGCCACGTAAAAAAAAAA